ACATGGACAGACTCAACCATAGTTTCAACTGGGAAACTGTGAGCATCCTAGACCAAGCTAAATCCTAAAATCCCTGGGAATTCCTGGAAGTTTGGCCTTCAGACAAATCAGCCATCAATAGACACCTAGAGATGAACCACATTTACACACCATTCAAAAGAGACAATTAAAAAAAGCTAAGAAGGAAACGAAAAGACGAGAACACAGGTCCTCTCCAGAAGCCAACACCCAGATAAGCAGGGATGAACACCAGGCAAACAAGCAAGCAGAAAACAATACCCTTATCAAGGTGCTACCAAGGAGAAAACCACACACCTACCAACACTGGCAGGGCAGCTACTGTATATAAACAGGAAGCAAACCCCACCCTCCCTCACACTGATGATGTTACTCGTTGGGTCATGAAACATCTGCCAGAAAACAACCAAGCTCAGAGAGCACCAAGGACTCCACAGTTCAACCCTGAGCTACAGAGATGCTCTTCTACTGGCAAAGAAGTATTTTCCACTGATTTCTTCTAGGGTGTTTTTAGACTTCCCAATGTAGTTTATAGTCATGGGTTTCTGAAGTGATCTCCCTTCCAAGTACTAACCAAGTTTAGCCCTGCTTAGCTTCCAGGCCCAAGCAAGACCTACCAAGGATACTACCTGCCTTCTAGTGAACAGGGAGTTTTGTGACTTACTACTCCTGACATTACAACCCTGTAGTGGGAACACGTTTGATGTATTCTCAAAAATCCAGATATTCATGGTGGCCTGAAATGTTGCCTTTCCTTGTGCTAGAGGGTGTGCAAAGGAAATAAAGGTCCCATGGTTATTATTTTTTAAAATCTTATTTCCTTACACGTATTACAAAGATACACAAAAGAGATGGAGGGGAAAAGAAAAAAAGACCCCCCAACAATCAATGGCAAATTAAACCACGAAAAAAAGAAAAGAAAAAACTACAATTTATCTAAGTAGATGACATACAGTATAATAAATGTTTATTTGTCCATCAGTTGCTTTGTATTGTTCTTTTACGAATGCCCTTTTTCTTCTAAAGAGATTTTTAGACATTTTTAATGTCTAAAGAAAGACTTTATGAAAGAATGTCTAATGAAAGAATTTAACAATCTACTCAACCAGCAAACACCATTGATCTTTGGATTGCAAAGATAAATACTCCTCAGGACTTTTGGAGACAATGATGTTGTTTTCTTGGGCTTGATAGAGGACTTGGCCATTGAGTCATTCAGGGCTGGTTTGCTGACTTCCCTGGCAGGCCTGCAGCCCTGGGATTCCCTAGTGGTCTCCCATTCAAGTAGCAATGATCCTGATCCAGCTTAGCTTATTCAGCTGAGCAAGGTTGCCTAGATACTGCCACCATGCTGGACATTAGGTTTATGAGAAGCCCATTTAAGAAATCAATCAATCAATCAATCAATCAATTATTGATCCAAACATAGGAGTTGGCTTCATAAATTTCCACTAACATCCCTTCTATGAACACATACTCCAGGATTCATGGAACAAACCTAGTTGATGTTATTCTTTTCGTTCACATACTTCTGGCTTTAGTTAGTGAGGGACTACGCTTTGGTGGTCCACATGTATCTTAAAGTAAGAAGCATTATGTAGCACATGATCAGGAAGAGCAAAGGCCTTATCTCAAGGGTTCTTAACCTGGGCTCCATGGACCTCCAAGGGGTCAGGAGATAGACTTCCGAAGGCCCATGAATTTGGAATGGGAAAAAAATACCACTTTATTTTCACATGCATTGCTCGATGACATATTTGTTATTTTTACAATGTTTTGATAACTGTATTTGAACTTCATAGAGGTTGATAGGTTTCATCAAGACTCTCGAAGGAGTTGATGGCCCGAAAAAGTTAAGAAGCCTTAGCTGGAGATCTGGGAAAATGAATGCTAGTTAACGGGAGGGCAGAACATCTTGGAAAAGCTACAAGGTTGTTCATGCTCCAATCCAGGGTTTGTCTAAGCTGGCTTCTTTTCTTTCTAGAGAAGCACTGATGATGAAGAAGAATTGGTGAGTTTTCACGTTGATGTTTTTCTCTTTGGCAAAGTGGCTCCTCTCCTTCCCACTTCCCAGTTAACCATTAGCGAAGATCAATCCCACTGTTTGCTTAGGGCTTCTTGTTTTTCCTGTCCAGGGGAAACGGAATATTAACCTGGTGCTTTTTTATTGCACAATGTTGTCACGGGGTGCTGAAATGACAATGGAGAAAAGGTTTCAGCTTGGGAGAAGCAAGTTAAGACATTTACTTACTTATGGCGTTGATCTACATAGCCACCCATCTCACAGTTGTGTCTCTGGGCAGCAGACATAGGATTAAAACAATAAACAGCAAAGTAGGCCACAACAATAGCAACCGTAATAGCACAATCATAGCATCATGGCACCTGAAGACAATCTAACTCAATCCATACAACCATAGTCATGTTAAAAAAAAGTCACATTGCTGGACTCACCCATCCTCCAGACCCCATGCCTGAGGGAACATCAAGGACTTGGAAAACACCAGCAAGGTCTGGGCCAGATGAATCTCAGGTTGTTAAAATGCTGATGTTAAAATGTTGTTAAGATGTTAGAAACAGGGCCATGGATGCCTTTGAATGATTAATCTACTGGTGATTTTCATCTTTGTGACGGTTTCCAGGGAAGCCCCAATTTCCAACCTCCCTCTCTATTTTATCTGCCCAGCTGAAATGCTCTTTACTCATTCGAGTGGGCAGAAAGCAGATGGGCATGACAATTTTTGCCCCCTCTTTTTCCAGCCTCTGCAGTTGCTTGATTTCCCTCCAAGATGACAGAGCCCAGATACCTTGGATGAGGACAGAACAAGGGGTAACGGGTTACTTTAACACTGGTGTATTTAAGGATGACCAAAGCCTCTTTTACTCATAGCTAGGGATGAGATGAAGGCAACAGAGCCAAAAGCAGACATGACTGGGGGACATCTGTGCGATGGTTAGCTGTGAGTGGGAAAAGGCTGTAATGATGTCTTCTCTCTCTCTCTCTCTCTCTCTCTCTCTCTTCTCTCTCTCTCATCCCCTCCCTCTCTTTCGTGCCTTTGAACCAGTCTTGATTCTCAGTGACTGCCTGGACTAGTCCATGAAGTTTTCTTGGCAACATTTTGGAAGTGGTTTGCCCTTGCCTTCTTCTTCTTCCCATGGCTGAGAGAGTGACTGGCCCAACGTCACCCAATTGGCTTTGTGCCTAAGGCAGGACTAGAACTCACAGTCACCCAGTTTCTAGCCTTGTGCCTTAACCACTGCACCAAACTGGCTCTCTCTACAAAATTAGTCTGGGTTAATACTCATCTGTGATACGATTTGGACCTGTTTCTGGTTCCACATGGCCTGCTTCTGCAGGTAATGCAGATCTGCAGGTGATGTGGGCCTGCCTCTCCTGTGTCATGTTTGTGACTTTCCTGCAGGCCTCTCTGGTTCATTTACACTGGACCAGAAGCCCTGTGAAAATGGATCAAATAGCATCACTGATGAATCTAAACGTTGGGTCCAGAGGTGTCCATGGTGTGCGTGTGTATAAACAATTCAAGATGGGTATCAGGTGGTGCAACTGCTGTCTTGACTTCTTCTAATATCTCCCATGGATGCCTCTAGTTGGATCTCAATGTTTAATCAAGTCAACAATAAAATTTGCCATAAGGACATTCCTGGGACTGTACTTGGAACCCCAGCTATTCCTTTGCTGACCCTTCCTGCCATATTTGCATCGTTTCAGATTCTAGGTGAAGACAACATAGTCCTCCACAGCTACAAGATCCAGTCCACCATCACGTCCCGCCTGGCCAATACGATGGTCCAGACCAAAGTGGAAAACAGAGCCAAGCATTCACAGAATCTGGTCTTTGATGTCCAGATCCCCAAAGGGGCCTTTATTCACAATTTTACTATGTAAGTCAGAGCAAAACTAGTTCATCCACTTAATCTTCTCATAGGCTGAGTAGGTTCATCCAGCTTGTGCAGGACTACAGGGGCTTCTGACCATCTTTTCTGTGGCTCCTGGAACTTCTCTGGCCATGATTGAAGAAAATGGTGGTGTTGTTTTCATTCATTCATTCATAATTGTTTCTTTTGGGAGTTCAAGACAGCATACATGGAGGTATCCTCTAGTTTTGTCCACACAACAGTGAATATCAGGCCAGCTTCCCAATGGAATTATGTGGAAAAACATGAGATCAGGAGTTCTTCTGGACTAATTTTGCTGATTCTTGATAAGCACTGCTCTAGACAGTAACCAGAGTCCTAGTCTGCCCACTTCTCTAAGACCAGCTTTGATTTATTTTTGGTAAGAGGTAGCTAAGATTGTGCTGTTAACTTCTAAGAATTGCCCATAGCACCTGAGATAATCCAGCTGGGACTGGAGAGAGAGAGAAAAAAAGATTTTACTTATGCAACAGGGTTGGGGATACAGAAAATAGGATAGAGGAACAACTTGCTTTTCTATTCTTGTCCAGAAATACAAGAATGATCCATGTTTGGTGGGATTTTGCTGGACAGGAGTCCCATAGCCTATCCTTTTCCACTCAGATGGAAGGACAAGGGGTGGAAAATTGAAGACCCAAACCAGCTTGGAAATCCGGAGCTAACTGTGCGATGTTATATTAGTCTGCTTTTGGGGATAGGATGATGGTCCGCTTCAAAGGGGTTCTTCAAAGGGAAGTTTCCCTCTCAGCTCTCAAGCTTGCCCCAAAGATTTCCATGAGTGACATGAAGAACAAGAAGGTTCTCCTGCATTTTGTGTCCAAATTTTTTTGGCTTTTTTACATGACCACCAAACGTGATAAAATGTCCCTTCCTGTTGTTCAAATTTCCAGCAAAGATTTGAAGTGCCTTTATACATTCTAGACAATTTTTCTGGTGACAAATACCCATGATTCATCATTTTATATATCTCTCTTTAAGGCTAGAACATAATGTAAATTTCAGTCCTTTCAATCACATATTTTCCCATTGATCCATTTGTATATTATAGCCAACATTTTTAGCCCATTTTATCATGTGGTCTTCCACTTGTTCTTCTGTCTCATAGCAATAACATGTCCATTATCAGTACATAATTCTATTTCAGTCTTACTTTGTTCAAAACCATAAAATCTTTTATCCACTTTAAATCTTTCTGACAATTGAACATAAGAATGTAAGAAAAGCATCAACGAATATATCCTTCTGTTGTCAAACTTTCTCTTGATTTCATTTTGCATTTCGATTTTTTTCACAGTCCCTCCCCATGGATGTCCCTGAAAATTCACTGGATTCTAGAGTTGCAATTGGACAGAATTCTCCCCTTTAACATGAGGTGGCAGGGACTGGAACATTTGCAGGGCAGACACAACTCTACTCTGTCTATCTCCACCCAGCATCTCCTAAATGAGGAAGCTGCCTCAGTCTGTCCAGCAGTAGGACTGGCTCTGATGCTTCCTCCTGGCAGTTTCACTGCTGATTAAATTCTTTTTTGCTTCCTTTCTGCTCTACAGGAATGTCAATGGTATCACGTTTACGAGTTCAATTAAGGAAAAATCTGCAGCTCGAAGTCAGTATGCCCAAGCTAGGGCCAGAGGTAAAGCTGCTGCGATCCTAAGGTAGGTAACCCTGGTTGCAATGACTGATGCTTCATCCAATCCCTTTGTACTGCACTGGGGCTCTGAAGAGGAGAGATGTAACAAGGGATGGGCAGTATCTCTGTATCACTCTGGCTATTTTGAAGTCTGGACAATGCCAACCGCCATATTTGGAATATCCCCTCTACTCATCTTACTCTACTGATTGGTGGTATTTTGTGGTTTTTATAAAAAAGTAATAATTTGTGTAATTAAATGCAGGAGCAATGCTCTTGACATGGAGAACTTCAAAGCCGAACTCAACGTCCCCAGTGGAACCAAAGTCCAGTTTGAAATTCATTACCAAGAGCCCATCCGGAGGAAATTATCAACCTATGAACACATTATTCCAGTGCAGCCAGGGAGACTGGCTAAACACTTGGAGGTAAAGAAGGATAAATGGCTGGAATAGTGAATGTGAAGTGCTGCTTTGGAAACTGTCGATATGAACGTGAGACCTCCAGCAAAGGGTTGCAGGACATTTCCATCCCAAAGAGTGCTTCCTGTTCTGGTTTCTGGAAGAATAGGCCTGGCCATAACGATTAATCCTTTAGCAACTTTCACCTTGACTACTGTATTATGCTCTGAGTGGCCTTTGAAAAGGGTTCAGGAAAAAGATGGGTTTAGCCATCTGTCAAAACTCACTGTGGTTCTGCAGTTCAGGTTCTCAGAGGGGGAATATCGACTGATAGCTAGGCTCCTTTTGGACATGGGTTTAGGGCTATTCTAGAAGAGTGCAAACCCGCATTGGAAAGCAGTACACTGCTTTTACACCACGGCCCCGCTCACGGCTAAATTTTCTTGCCCTGCCTAATTTTGCCCAGGAAAATGCCTGGAACGGGCCTTCTCTGCGGTGGCCCCCGCCCTTTGGAACATCCTGCCCCCGGAGATGTGATTGGCCCCCTCACTCCTGGGCTTCCGAAGGGCCTTGAAGACCTGGTTCTGCCGCTTGGCCTGGGGTGAGGAGGGAACAGCTCAAGCAGGGAGACGGCTAGCCCCATAGTGGCTGGCTGTCCCTGCCCTGATTTTCCATCTTCTTGGATTTTTTGTTTTTAGTATTGTTTTAATTGTATATATGGGGTGTATTTTATGTATATTTATAGTTTTATTCTCTCTGTAACCTGCCCAGAGTCCCCTATTGTAGGGGAGATGGGTGGGAGAGAAATCTAATAAATAAATAAAAATAAATAAATAAAATATCCTGAGTTGTGGCCTTCAGGGGTTAAAAAATTCCTCCAACTGTTTCTACTGGAGATTCAGCTGGATCTTTGGGCATACAACGTCTGGGCCTGAAAGTCCTTCTAACCTACTTTAGAAAAATGTACCATCAGAGAGAGATGTTGCCATGTCTCTGTTCTTCTGACAACTGATTCTCATCTCCCCATTACCACACTGTCATAGGTTAATGTCCACATTGTTGAACCCCAGGGGATTAGTTTTGTCCACGTTCCTAACATACTTGGTGACCAGTTTACTGATGCAACTACAGTCAACAAAGGAGGAAAAAAGGTAATGATGCTAAAACAAACCACTCTTTGAGAAAAAAAAAATCTTCAGCCATCATAGCTTAAAATTCCAAGCTGGGTTGGTGTCCAGCCAGGGGTCAAAGAAATCAAGAAGGCAGTTGCAATAGATCTGGACCTTTTTTCTCCTTCCCCCCTACTCTGCAGATGCTCTTGGTTTAACTGGAGCAGAGACTTCATGTTAGCTTTGATTTGGAAGACTGAGTCTGAAAGTGCCTGAGATTAATATATAGGCTGAGATCTTTGAGAAGTCTGCTACAAACTGGCCTGTGTTACAACTCTGCCAGAAATGTGTAAATTAGGACATAGCTGTTCCTCAGATTTCATGTTACTCAGGGCTTTGCAGAAGGCTGTGGAGCATTTTAAATGATCACATTCCATAATTTAAAATGTTCTCACCTTCCATTTTCTTCATTTTCAAAGCCACTCCCTCTTGGGCAGGAGTTTAAAATTTAATGTTAACACTTCCACTGATGTTTTGTTGTTTTCCTTTTGTAATCCCTGGGTGGATTTGGAGGGAATTTGGGGAATGAAGGAATAGAATTCTCAAAAGTAAAATATGCCATGGTTTCCAATACCCAATACTATTATAAATGATGACTTTGCATTGCACTGACCAGGAAGTATGAGTGAAAGGCATGACAGGCATTTGCATAAATGAATAATGTTGGTCTCACAAAACCTGTAGGTGAACCTCTGGAGGAGGAAGGATGAGATACTTTAAAATAGTTTGGTGAATACAGATTTAACATTCAAATGCCTCTTGTGACCAATACAAAACAGTCCCCAAGCTAAGGTGTCTTTAGATCCATGTCTCACTTGGCTGTTCTCTTTGCACTTTAAGGCGCACATATCCTTCAAACCATCTGTAGCCCAGCAACGAAAGTGCTCCAATTGTACCACCACAGCTGTGGATGGCAATCTTGTGGTGACGTATGATGTCAACAGGGATACGAAAGCTGGCGAGCTGGAGGTACTTTGCTAAATGTCTTGAGTGTGGGGATTGGGAGGGGATCAAGTGAGATTAGGAACAGGTCAAGAGAGGCTTAGACCCAAGAGAGAATGCCCATAGTTCATGTAACATGTGAATTATGATGTTAATGTAAACGCCACTCCCTTGCCACCATTCTGAGAATCTTTCTAAGATGTCATTTGGAGGGAGGGAGGGAGGGAGGGAGGATACATACATACATACATACATACATACATACATACATACATACATACATACATACATACATACATACATACATACATACATACATACATACATACATACATACATACATACATACATACATACATACATACATACATACATACATACATACATACATACATACATACATACATACATACATACATACATACATACATACATACATACATACATACATACATACATACATACATACATACATACATACATACATACATACATACATACATACATACATACATACATACATACATACATACATACATACCAGAAATATGTGGGGAGCACCAACTGAGGATGTTCAGTTCAATGAATATAGAATGTAAGGCTTGGAAAAATCTTGGAAATCATGTGGTCCAACTTTCTGCCCAGTGCAAAAATCTATTCCTATAGCAGGAATAGATGGAGATTTAGCATCTGCTTAAATACCTTTAGCAAAGGAGAATCCACCATCTTCTAAGACAGTTGGTTCCATTGTTCAATAATCTGTGGGTGGCTATGCCTTTGAGTCAGTTTTGACTCCTGGTGACTGCCTGGACAAGTCTCTGAAGTTTTCTTGGCAACATTTTTGGAAGTGGTTTGTGTCAAGGTTTGCTTTGTTAAAGCAGGAATCCGTCCACTATGTCCTCAGGTCCTAGTTGAAGAAAGTACTCAGACAC